GGAGCCTGGACATCCTGTGCACCATGGGTCAATGGTGCACAGGACCACACCTGCACTGGGACTCCTTAACTTGCCTTTGTATTAGAACCCTTCAGGGCTTAAACCTTGCCTTGGCATTAGAATGCTGAAGAGGGTGGACTCTGGGGGAGGTCCAGCTCTATTTCCTTTCCCACTGTGCCTACACTGAATACGTCTCTTTTCCACTTTTCCCTATTGATTTAGCTTTTTATAATTGGTCCATTGAAGATGGATGTCTGAGCTTGGCTTGTCGGGGCTGCCTGAGATCTGATATCACCACTATTCATGTGCAGAATTTTCCTCACCTCATACTGATGGTGAAAAGCAGAAAATGGAGATATGGCCTTAGGAGTGAGGCCCAGGAGGTCAAGGACAGCCTGGGCAACAGGACAAGACCCCTTCTCAAAAAGGGAAGAGTTGTGGGTTTGTTTTGTTTTTTGAGACACTTTTGTCCACACTGGCCTGTTCCATAGGGTGAGTGTGCAGATAGAAAGCCATCCACCTGCTGGGATTGAAGCACCAAACCTGGTCCTGTTATAATTCACCTTAAAAAAGTAGCAATCTAGGGCTGGAGAGATGGCTCAGAGGTTAAGAACACTCACTGCTCTTCCAAGGGTCCTGAGTTCAATTCCCAGCAACCACATGGTGGCTCATAACCATCTAAAATAAGATCTGGTGTACAGGCAGAATGTTGTATAAATAATAAGTAAATATTTAAAAAAAATAGTAATCTATGTAAGGGTACTTTATGGGGCTACTTTATTTGAATTCTTATACCTTCTTTCCAACCCTTATTCCACGCTAATCCCTTCTAACCCCCTAACACTAGGTAGGAGAGAAAGGCGGCATAGATCTCATTAGACTACTTCCTGTTGAACAGGGGCGTTGGGTTTCTTGGGCCAAGTCTAATCTTTGTCAACAGGATATCTTCAGCTTCTTCTCCTCAAACCACAAGAGCGACCAGAAGCAGCAGGAGGAGCAGCCTCCTTTTCAGAGCACCCCCCACCCTTCTCTGGGCTCTGGCACTTATACTCTCTCAAGAGTCTCCAGAATTCCAAAGTAAACTATCTGCAGGTGGCACAAATCACATCCCTGCCAGAACACAAGACATGTTATCGTCTGCTGCTGTGGGCAATCTGAAGCAGCCCCATATCCCACACCTGGGATTAAAACAAAAACATACTCCGATAACGTAGCTGGAGATATATAGGATCATATATATAGGATTTATGTATTATTTATGCAGCATTGTGCCTGCATGTGTGCTTGCACACCAGAAGAGGGCACCAGATCTCACTATAGATGGTTATGAGCCACCATGTGGTTGTTGGGAATTGAACTCAGGACATTTGAAAAGAACAGCTGTTGCTCTTAACCTCTGAGCTATGTCTCCAGCCCCATAGCTGGATTTTTTTTTTTTTTTTTAAAGAAACTAAAGTTCTCACTACAAATTTTTGCTGGAAGCTTAGCTCGTGGCTACAGAACTTGCTATGAGACCCTAAATTCAATCCCCAACACCATAGCACCACAACAAACAAATAAAAAAGTTAAAAAATCAGAAGGTCACTCATGGTGACTCATGCTCTTTTGTTTTGGCTTTTTTTTTTTTTTTTTTTGCTTTTGCTTTGTTTTTTAGATGGAGTCTCTCTGTCTTAGAACTCTCTAAGTACATAGGACTGGCTGGCCTCAAACTCACTGAGATCCAATTGTATGCACCACCAATGCCTACAGTGACCCACAATTCTGGGCAGTCTGGGCTACATAGTGGGACCCAGTCTCAAAATACAAAAAAACAAGAACATTGTTGGGACAACTGATGAAATTTGAATAAGATCTATAAATTAAATGCAGTATTGAGTCAATGTTAAATTTTCTGGTGGTCGGGGCTGGAGAGATGGCTCAGCAGTAGAGAGCGCGTGCTATTCAAGAACAGGCTACCCTCTTCCAGCCTTCAAGGGTGGCCACACACGTGTGTATACACTCACTCATAAATAAAATAAAGCTTTAAAAAACTCAGACTCAGGAAACTGGAGCGATGGCTCCACAGTGAAGAGCACCGACTACTCTTGCAGAGGTCCTGGGTTCAATTCCCAGCAACTACATGGTGGCTCACCACCATCTGCCTAATGGGATCTGATTCCTTCTTCTAGTATAAATGAAGCAGAACACTTACAAACATTAAAAAAAAAAAAAAAAAAAAAAGACAAAAACTCAGACTCAGACGTAATCCCAGCACTCGGGGAGAGACAGTGGTAGGTCAGCCTGGTCTACAAAACAAGTCCAGGACAGCCAAGGCTACACAGAGAAACCCTGTCTCAAACAAAACAAAACAAAACAAAAAACCCATGAATAAATAAATATGTCAATTCTGGATTCCTGTCTATGTAAGCTAATAGCTCTGTTTTTTAGGAAATACCAACTACAACTACAGTGTTTCTTGGTGAAAGAATATGCTGTTGACGGAACTATTCCTAAATAACCATTAAAAATTATACACTTTCAAGGGCTGGATGTTACCTAGTAGCAGAGCAGTTGCCTGAAACACCTACAGCCCTGGGTTCTATTTCCAGCACCAATCAGTCCATCAATAATTGGACGTGGTGGTGCACACCTTTAATCCCAGAAAAGGCAGAGGCAGGTGGATCTCTGTGAGTTCAAGGAGGCCAGCCTGGTCTACTTTGGGAATTCCTAGGGCTACCCAATGAGACCCTGTCTCAAGCAAACAAAACTAAAAAGAAAGAAAGAAAAAATGCCTACTGAGGACTTGTAAGACAGCCCAGTGGGTAAAGGCACTTGCCGAATTTGATGAATTTGACAATCTGAGTTTGATCCCTGGGACCCACACGGTGGAAGGAGAGACACAACCCCCCTAAGTTTGTCCTCTGACCTCCACACTAGCACAGTGTCCTGCAGACATGCATGCATTATCATAAGATAAATAAAACGTAATAAAAATGTAAAAGCACATGTAATGGGCTGAACACAGTGATGAATCCCATGAGTGCCTGTGATCTTGGCACTTGGGGGGGGGGGGGATGAAATAGCACCAGGATTTTCCAGCTAGTCTCAGCACAGAGTCCATATGCAGACTTTGTGAGTACAGTCCTATTTTCAAAACGTTGAAAAGAAAAAAATGGCATGTGCAAGGTGTGCCATCCCAGCCCTGAGGGAAACAACTGGTTAAATGAAGAAAAGGTTAATAAGAATGTAAAGAAATTTCTTTTTTTCGGGGGAGGGGCAGATAAGGGGGGTTGTTTTAAGACAGGGTTTCTCTGTGTAGCCCTGGCTGCCCTTGCCTCACTTTGTAGACCAGGTTTGCTTGGAACTCAGAGAGATCTGCCTGCCTCTGTTGGGTATAAAGAAATGTCTAAAGCACATAATTTTTCTGTACATTTGAAATTAAGAACAAAAATTTTAAAATCAAATTGCTGTTTAGTGTCAGCTCTACCTGCTAATGCTGTAATCTTAGATAAACTCTTTAAAACTTTTATGAAATATAAATGTATTTTTTTTTTGAGTCATGGTGTGTGCCACCATGCCCGACTGAAATATAAATTTATTAAGAAATAAAATATAGTTGGGCAGTAGTGGCTCACACCTTTAATCCCAGCAGTCCGTAGGCAGAGGCTGGCAGAACTCTTGAATTCGAGGCCAGCCTGGTCTACAGCATGAGTTCCAGGACAGCCAGGACTATACGCCAAAATTCTATCTTAAAAAACTTAATCAATCAATTAAATAAAATATAAATCTTTGTTTATATTTTATTTAAGTTTTTAAAAGTTTTCCTGAGTTCTATAATATAGATATTAATATAATCACGGGATCATTAAGGAGGAGCTTTTCTCAAATGTAGTAGGGAATGGTCTGGGACATATTTCTTCTGTATCTTCAAATCCTTTTGCTATGACATTTATTTCTTTTTATTTATTCAGTCGGGTGGGGGAGTCACCTGGATGAACCTTGACCTTTCCCTCAGAGCCATCTGGTCTTTTTTTCCTTTAGTTTTTTTCTAGATAGGATCTCTGAAGGTAGACCAGTCTGTCCTTGAACCCATCCAAAGTGCTGGGATAAAGATGTGCCCCACCACAGCGCTCTCTCTCTCTCTCTCTCTCTCTCTCTCTCTCTCTCTCTCTTTCTCTTTTCCTAGACAGAGTCTCTCTGTGTGGTGCTAGCTGTCCTTGAATTCAGAGACCAACTGCCTCTGACTCTCTAGTGCTGGGATTTAAGGCTTGAAGAGAGTTACCACGCCCTGCTTTCTTTTTTCTTTTCTTCTTCTTCCTTCTCTTCTTCTTTTTCTCTTTCTTCTTCTTTTTCTAGAAAAGGGTTTCTCTGTGTAGCCTTGGCTGTCCTGGCTTTGTAGACCAGGCAGGCTTCAAAGTCACAGAGACCCACCTGACTCTGCCTCCCCGAGAGTTGGGATTACAGCTGTGTGCCATTAGCGCGGGCTTTTTTTTTTTTTTAAGACCTGCTGGTGCAGCACCACCAGCCTGTACCACCACGCCCCGCATTTCAGTCATGCTCCACCCCATCCATTCCCTAGCCCACCCACCCAGACACCCACGCCCTCCAGCCAGGCTCTCTAGTAGCCCAGACTGGCCTACTTCGTTTAGTTTGACTTTGATTTTGTGCTTCCGCCAAATGCTTGTAGCAAGAAATCTGGTTTTAGGCGGTACGGGGCTTCGAACTTGCTAGCGAGCACTCTACCAGCTGAGCCACATCCGCGGGCGGAGGAAAGCCTGGCGATGTGAGCGCTGGGTGGATCCCGAGTTAATGAGGAGTGTCTGCAGGGGAGCTGCACACCTGACCGCTCCCACCGGCTCAATTGCCCGGGTTTGAAGAAGCACCTTCCACGCTGGAGTCTCCCTGCCTCTCGCACCCGGCACTCCTCGAATCCTCCATCCTTAAAAGTGGACCTCAAACTCCAGGACCGGGACTTCTGGGCCAGCCTCCATGGCCAGGTCCCGGGCTTGCTGGACTGGGACATGGGCAACGAGTGTTTCTTGACCTTCACCACGACGCACTTGTCGCTGGCCACGCAGAAACGTGAGTGAGGCTGTGGGGGAGGGGCGCGTGGGTGATGGCCGCATCAAGCGGGCGGGCCATCTGTGGCTTCCCAGGCTCACCACCTCCCTGGGCTCAGTGTCTGGAACCCCCACACTGGAGTGGGAGTGACCTTCTACCGTAACTGACTCCCCAGAGCCCACATAACCTTGGACTTTCAGCCCTTAACTCGTCACCTCCTACATTATTTCTAGCCCTCTTCTGAAATTTGGCCTTGAGCATCGGAACTTGGCATACCTCAGGCTTTATGATTCAGAATAAAACAGTCGGGGGCTGGAGAGGTGGCTCAGGGCTTAAGAGCACTTGACTGTTCTTCCTAAAGGTTCTGAGTTCAATTCCCAGCAACCACATGTTGGCTCATCACCATCTATAATGAGATCTGGTGCCCTCCTCTGGCATGTGAGGAGGGTATAAATAAATCATTTAAATCCATATATAAATCATTAAAAAAATCATATAAATCTATCTATAAATCATAAAAAATTTAAAAAGCAGTCACTGTTCTTTTGGGGGAAGTACCCTTGCCTCTTTGTGTTTGGCTGCCGATTGTGTTCCTGTTTGAGGCCCAGGCTTGCCTCAATTCCTAACAGTTAACCTCCTGTAGGCTTGGGCACGAACCCTCACTATTAGCCCACTTTTTCTTGTTTTGTCTGTAGTACCAGATGGACTTAATATTGCCGAAGGGATGGTGGACCAGAATGCTCTTTGTAAGTTTTTCCTCTTCCTTGCGCTTTTTTTTTTTTTTTTTTCTGTTTTTTTTTTTTTTTTTTTTAACCACTGCAAGGTTGTTGGGTTAATTACTTCCTCCTCCCCCACCCCCTTTTTTTTTTGGTTAGTCACAGCCATCCTCTCCACTTCCACATATACAAGTCATAAACTCGAGAGGCTGAGATGGGAGTGGCTGAGGCCAGGGGTTCTAAGCCAGCCTACAAGTGTCTCCTGCAAGGCCTTTGTCTTTGTTTCTGGGAAGTTTCTTTTTTTTCTTTTTGCATTTTGAGACAGGGTCTCACCAAGTAGCCTTGGGTGAGTCCAGAACTGTAGACTACAGCCTTGTAGTCCCTGCCTTGGGGTCATTTCTCCAAGCAGGAACAGAAAGTAGGCAGTTAGACCTTAGGGTGTGGGGTTCTGGGGAGAGGTGTGGATTGGTGACACAAATGTTGAGAATCTTTGGTATATGGTTGGTATTTAAGCACTAAGAATAATGGGACCAAGGCTGAACCCTTGAGGCACTGCAGTGCAGAGACTGAGGAAGAGATAATCATCCCCCAGAAGAAAGCCAGGAATGAAAACCGTCCTGCAGTGTACAGGAACCCTGCCGACAAGATGATTCTAGGACTGAGATTGGGAGATAGAGGCAGGAGCTCAAGGTCATCCTTAGCTTCAGGGGGACTCTAGCTGCTGCTGGTAAAGACCACGCCCCTCCCCCCAAATGGGGAGGAATAAAGAGTCTCAACAAAGAGTAATAGGGTAAATCTGATCAAATACTTTATATATGTGTGACGTGCTATAGAATTTTTGTTGTGAGACAGGTCTTTGCCATGTAGCCTCTCTAGGCTGTGATCCTCCCTTTAGCCTCACTAATGCTGGGGTCACTGGTACAAGCCTCTAGTCACAGCTTCCTATCTCTTACGATTAATCCATGCAAATAAAGAGATTAAAGAGCTAGGCAGGGTGCTGCCTGCATTTAATCCCAGCACTTGGGAGGCAGAGGTAGGCAGATCTCCTAGAGTTCAAAGCCAGCCTGGTCTACATAGTAACTGCCAGGCCAGCTAGAGCTATGGGGAGACCCCGTTAAAAAAATAAAATAAAAACTGGCTGTGGTGGCACTCACCTGTGGAAAATCTTAAGCTCCAGCCCAGCCCAGGCCACATCTCAGAATCCTGTCTCTAGATAACAATGGGAGATGGGGGGGAGGGGCAGGGATGGGAGATGCAGATAACCAGAGTTTAATTCCTGGAACTCAGATGGGAAAGTGGCCTTGACCTACTCACACACGGTACCTAAAGAAATAAGTAAATAAATGTTCAAAAGAATCACTAAATCATATTTTTCAGGTGTAAAGCTTTCTGAAATAGGTCTTTCATCTAATCCAGATTAGTTTGAATTTAGTATGTTGCTGAATCTGGCTTTGAATTCCAGATCCTCCAGCCCTTACCATACAAGTGCTAGGATTAGATGTGTGCCACCACCATTCCTGGCTTTAATGTGCTTTCCTTTTTTATTTTTATTTTATTTTTTTCAAGACAGGACTTCTCTGTGTGGCCCTGTCTATCCTGGAACTCATATTTTGTAGACTAGCATGGCCTCAAATTCAGAGATCCTTCTGGCTCTGCCTCCTGAGTGCTTACTCGAAAAAACAAACAAACAAAAAAAGAACAGAAACCTTTCTGGTTGTGGTGGTGCACACCTTTTAACACAGCCCCTCAAAAAAGAAAAAAATTTGTGCAGTGAAAACACTGCAGTTCAAACTGGGCACACCTTTAATCCCAGCACTTGGGAGGCAGAGGCATGCCGATCTCTGAGTTCCAGGACAGCCAAGGCTACGCACACAGAGAGACCTTGTCTCAAAAAAAAAAACAAAATCAAACAGATAAAAACCCAAAACATTGCAGTTCCTAATGTCAGGTTCCCTTGTAGTGTGATGGTGTGTGCAGCACCTGTGTAGATTTTGGTTTAGCTGGGTTGTTGTTTTGTTTTCTTCGGTTTTTCAAGAGTGCTGGGGTTAACTACAAACACTACCACTGCCCTGCTGGTTTTAGTTTTTTTGGGTTTTTGTTTGTTTGTTTTTGTTTTGTTTTCCCAGAAGGGTCTTCTCTGTGTAGCCTTGGCTGTCCTGGAGTCACTTTGTAGACCAGGCTGGCCTCGAACTCACAGAAATCTGCCTCTGCCTCTCAAGTGCTGGGATTACAGACCTGTGCCACTGCACCCTGTTTTCTGTTTGTTTGTTTGTTTTAACAGGGTCTCTCTACATAGCTCTGGCTGTCCTGAAACTCCCAATGTAGACCAGGCTGGCCTGTAACTTATATCCTTCTGCCTCTGCCTCCTAAATTCTGAGATTAAAGGCATGTGCCACCAAGCCTGGCCGTTCTTGTTTAAATGTGGTTCTGTAGATTGAAGTGAGTGAGGTGTAAGTGCTCTGAGCTATGTTTTCAACCAAGAAATTTATTTTTGAGTAATATTCCATATGCAGAGACCTTTTACTGGTGGCTGTAAGCCGCCATCTTCAAACCCAGGGCTCTCAAACCTACCTATGTGCCAGAAGTCCACTGTCTGTGACCTGCACGTTCAGTTGAGGTTTTGACTCACGGGTGGGTAGTTTACTAAGGTATAATGAATGGCACTTCTGTGTAGGGGCGGGGGGCAGGGGGAGAGGATTTCCTCTGAACCTTACCTTATGTCATCTTGCCAGCCCAAGAAAATGTAATTGAATTTTAGATATGTTAATCTAGGGAGCTGGCCATATAATACAGCTCTGTATTCCTGGGAGGCGGAGGCAGGGAGATATCAAGTTTGAGGCCAGCCTGGGATTTATAACAGGATCCCTGTTAGTATTTTGGAACACAACCTGCTCCTGGGTTACCCAGCAACCTATGATGTCATGTGTCGCCGGCCAGGTGGCCATACCTGGAAGGCGTGGTTACCTTGCCCCTTAAAGGGATGACCCCGACACAAAGTCTCTCTCTTACACTCTCTCTTGCTCTCCTCTTTCTCTCTCATAACAATCCCACGACAGGAGGAAAAGCGCAAAGGGGAGAGAGGGAAGGCTGATGGCCATGGCATGTATGAGGCTACTCAAAGACAGTATATGTAGAGGGAGGGGGGAAAAAAGTAGAAAATTCAGAAGTTACAGTTGAAGGGAACAGCAGTCTCTATAGCCTCATACAACCTGCTCCCAGAGAGCTTCGAGGCCCAGAATATCTTGACTCTTCTTTTTGCCAGTTGCCAAGTACAGACTCCAGATCGTTGAACCACCAAAACTGCCTTTGTCTTGACTCTCTTTCCTTTTGCCAGTTGCCAGATACAGACTCCAAATAGTTTATCCACCAAAGCTGCCTTTGGAAAAAATACCCAACCCGGATAAAGATGGTATGTGTTGCTTTATGTGTTCTGTCTCCTAAGCCGGGATCACCTTGCTCCTCAAAGCCAGTGAACCACGGGATGTCTCCTTCTCCTTTTCCTCTGCCCAGGTCCAGACATTAAGCCCAGCCTGTGGATGTGGGTGAATCCAAACATTGTGTATCCTCCCGGGAAGCTGGAGGTCAAAAGACCTAAAAAGGAGCCAATCCTGGAAGAGGAAGGAGCCTCAGAGGCGTGGTCATGGCTGCCTTCCTCCAGCCAGCTGTCACCTCGAAAGTGGAAGAGGAAGCAGAAGGAGAAGCACCTTGCCTCTTCCTCTAAGGCCTGCAAAGAGGTATGGATGGTTGGGCACAGAGCTGAAGCATCAGCAGCTGGGTTTCTGAGGGCTAGTAAAAGTTTAGAACTGACCTGTACCCTTGGGTTGGGGAGAATGCCAGATGGCAGATTCTAGACTGTTCCCCTATCTGCCACTGCACCCTGGAGCTGAGGCCGAGGAGTCAGGACCAGATCCTACTCTGTGCCTCTCTAGCATCCAGAAGAGGAGCAGGCCAAGGACCAGGATGACAGCTCCTCTGTGGCTCTCCCATCCCTTCCCACAAGGGCCCCCCTCCAGAGGAGGCTTCGGCAAGCTATCAGCTCAGAGGGGAGGCTCTGGTCCCGCCCTCCTCTCAATTACTTCCATCTAATTGCCTTGGCACTCAGAAACAGTCCTCCCTGTGGCCTCACCGTGCAGCAGATCTACAACTTCACTCGGTATGTGCCCAGGGGTCCCTGTGAGTAGGGAAAGGGGGGGTCAGCCCCCGCCCCCGGGCTGCTGACTCAAATTTTCTTTCCCCTGGCAAATGTATGCCTACCTAGTGTTCAGGAACATAACCACTTCCACCTGCTTTGACCTCTTAAAATTCAGCCTTCCCTTCACCAGGGTCAAGTTGCATTTTCTTCCACATATGAGAGAGACCCATATGTGGTTAGCCAGGGTAAAGTCCAGTGTCCCCACCAACATCTCCCACCTACTGCTCGTTGGGCTTTCCTGCTTGGCACAGAGGCCTGTACCCCCAAGGGTCAAGGAAGCTTCACTGAGAATTTGCATTTAGTGTATGTGTCTGTGTGTATGATCACTGAGATTGGAATTAGGGCCTCACTTTTGAGACAAGGACTCCGCTTTGTAGCTCTGGTTGGCTGGATCTATATAGACTAGGCCTCGCTTGAACTCAGATCTCAATTGCCTCTGCCTTCTGAGTGACGGTTTCTCTGTGTAGGTCTGGCTGTTCTAGAACTCAATATGTAAACCAGGCTGCCCTTGAAATGGGAGATCCACCTGCCTCTGCCTTTTTGTGTGTTGGGATTTGACCAGCTAACATTTAGCTTTGATAGCAAAGAGCCCAGTGTCTCAGTGTTTTTTCTCTGGAGGTTTAATCCTGTTAATGTTTTTTTTTAATTTATTTATTTTTATTAATTACAGCTTATTCACTTTGTATCCCAGCTGTAGCCCCCTCCCTCGCCCCCTCCCAATTCCACCCTCCTCTCTTCTATGCCCCTCTGTTATGGTTTTGCTTTGTTTCTGCTTTCACCCTGATAGGTAGGGCTGAGGCTCCAGGGGAGAATAAGGACCAAAATAGGTCTTATTTGGAGGAGCCATACCTTTCTTTACTTTTCTTCCCTGTCCACAGAGAACACTTCCCTTTTTTCCGGACAGCTCCAGAAGGCTGGAAGAATACAGTCCGTCACAATCTCTGTTTCCGAGACAGCTTTGAGAAAGTGCCGGTCAGTATGCAGGGTGAGGCCAGCATTCGGCCTCGATCCTGCCTCTGGAAGTTGACTGAGGAGGGACACCGCCGCTTTGCGGAGGAGGCCCGCACCTTGGCTTCCACACGGCTGGAAAGTATCCAACAGTGCATGAGCCAGCCAGGTGTGAAGGCTTGTCATGCATGTGCCCAAGGGTGGGGGACCTGAGGCCCAGATCCTGGATGTACCTACCTGGGTCACACCAGTAGGAAGCAGGGAGAATAGGAGTGGTTGAGACTCTCTAGTGATGTTTGCCTTTGAGACCTCCCACAAGAGTGGAACTTCTATACAAGGACTACTTTGGGAAACTGAAGCTGCAGCTGGCTCTGCTCTTGGCCCAGCATCCTGGGGAAATGGCATTTGAGCTGGGTAGGAAGTAGAAGGGTTTATGTGGGAAGAGGACTCTTCTGTAACAAGGAGAAAGGCTTCAGAAGTGGTCTCATTAAGCTCAGTGGGACAGCAGAGCAGACCCAGGAGAGAGCAGGTTGAGATTACAAGCCCCTCTGAACTCTCTTACAGATGTGATGTTTTTCCTCTTTGACCTTCAAGAAGAATCCACCATGCCCTATTAAAGTTCCCTTCAGCAACACCTGTGTGTGTTTCTGTGATCTCTAAGGATGGGGCCAATCAGGGAGTGGAATTCAACTCGAAGAATGAAAATAGGGGTTCTGGAAGCTGGCAGATGCTCTCTAGGCAGTTTCCTGTCAGGCAGGAGGGGAAGAATCTCTCTTTCCTCAGGAGGAAAATATTCAACACTCTTCAGGTTCCTGGAGCAGATTCTGTTTTTCTGGGGCATAGAGATCTTGGGAGACACTTATGGCAGCCAGCCCTGGAATAAGAAACCACTCCTTCAGCTGACCTCACAGCTTACTCCTTACAGCTGCTGATCCTGAGCTAAGGACAAGAGACAGACCCTGCCAAAGCTGCCAGGGAAGGACAAGCAGTGCTCAGGGAACACATCAGTTTGTGTGAGCTGGGGTCTCACTGTGAAGGCAGGCTAGCCTTGAACCAAGACCTGGCTTGCCTGGGCAGCTGGGACTTCAGGCATGGTGTGGTTCAGATTTGAAAACTTCAGTCACCAAAAAGACAAATGAATGGCCACATAGACCCCTCATGGATAATTTTGCTTGTTGTTCAAGACAGGGTTTCTCTGTTTTAGTCTTGCTATCCTGGAACTCACTCTGAAGACCAGGCTAGCCTCACACAGAGATCCGCCTGCCTCTGCCTCCTGAGTGCTGGCATTAAAGGCATGTGCCACCAATGCCCTGCAGCTAACCTTGTGTTTTTTAAAGTGTTTTATACTGTATGTATATGAGTGAGTATTTTAGTTACAAGATGCCTGCATGACAGAAGCGGGCATCAGATCCCATTATAGGTGGTTGTGAGTCACCAATTGGTTGCTGGGAGCTGAACTCAGGACCTCTAGAAATATATAGCACCAGGTCATGGTGATAATGCCTGTAATCTCAGCATTTGGAGGAACAGGCTGGAGGGTCAGGTATAGAAGAATTTTAATTCAGAATATGGCTGTTCTGGCAATAGGTCACATCCAAAGACCTTTGTTGGTATTATGTTTTTTTGGAATGTATGTAATTTATCCTTGGTCATTCAAATACAGATTTTTCTACCTCTCTATTTGGTTTCAATCTGGGCATGCTTAATCTAAGCATCACCTGTCTCATGTGTAAACATGCCACCATTTGTTCTTTATGTTGTCAATGAGTCAACCAGCCATTGCTGTGCAACAGGCAGAATAGGGTGGGACATCCTGGTCTAGAAATGAGAGGAAGGAAGCAGGAGGGTAGGAGCAGAGAATCAACAGGAGAGGTCTTAGAACCACATGGAGAGATGAACCAAACCTAAGATATGACTAAAAGCAAGTATAGTGGGTAAAATCTGAGTGGTAGGAAACTGCAGGCTTGGAGGTTTAGGATGGAGTAGCTTGCCCAGCATTGTGCTCTAGGTCAAATAAATCCCAGTCACTCTGGTGATTTGGTTATTCAGCTGTTTAGGAATAACCGCTGCTTAACTAAAAGATATGTCAATAAATATTAATCACCCTTAATATGTCAATAAATATTAATCATCTGGCTGGAATACAAACAGGCCTTTAACCCAGAAGACAGACAAGATCTGAGTTCAAGGCCAGCCTGGTATAGAGCACAGTTCAAGTAAAGAAAAGGTTAGATCTAGGCATGGTGGCACATGCCTTTAACTTCAAATAATGAAGGTAAAAGATAGTTTGTAGAAGGAAGCACCCATGTTTGAAAGTGATGCCTAATTTAGTGGCAGGAAAGGTGACGAATCTGTCCAAGACTTGACAGAATATGCCCAACTCTCATGAAAAGAGAGAGGAAAGGGAAGCTGCTAAAAGGGCAATGTGAGAAGAGGCAGTTTTACTGAGAGTTTTGCAGAGGTTGAATGAGAGAGCAAGTTAGACACTGGTGAAGATAGAACTAGCCAGAGAATGAGATGGAGCCAGGTTAGGAAAGACTGCTGAAGGTAGCTTGAGGCCAAGCAGAGCAATTCAGAGGCTGAGAGAGAAACCAGATTGAATATGTCAGCTGGGAGAGGAATCTGAGCCAGAACAGCTGAGTTGAACCAGCCAGGTCTAAGCTCAGGAAGAACCTTATTCAGCAGTAAGCCTCAGGCTGAAAAGATTCTAGGCCTAGGTTAGATTATAAGGAGACTAGAAGCTTCGAGGACTAGGCCTAGGTTAGTAGAGTGACAGTAAGCCTCTGAGACAATTGAAACAGGCGAATAAAAGGTTTTTTGTTTTTGTTTTACAGTGTAGTCAAGGATAGTCTTGAATTGTTGGTCATCTTGACTCTGCACCCCTGGCTAGAGGGAAGCATTTGAATCAAGGATGGTTGGGTACAGAGTAAAAGACTAAGCAGGGTCCTCCAGAGTGGAAGGCCACCGCAGAAGTGGAGGAGGTATGCGGTAGCTACCATGAAGGAAGCAGTGAGAGCTGGACAAGGAAGCACGTTTCAGGTGTTCATATCTTAGGTTCAAGATCAACTAGCAATTCCGTGAATGATGAGGAAGGGAAGGGTGAGGCTAGAGACTGCTCTTACGAGGTGATGAGTGGTTAAGAGAAAAACAACTGAGAGCTGGTCTCAGTTAAAAGTAGTGAATCTAGGTGTGGTGATGCACACCTTTAATCCCAGCACTGGGAGGCAGAGATAGGTGGATCTCCCTGAGTTTGAAGCCAACCTGCTCTGCAAAGAAAGTTCCAGGCCAGGATTGTTTCGCAGAAAAACTCTGCCTAGAAAAAACAAAAAAAGGAATGAATTTGGCTATGTATCAAGTTCCAGACCAGCCTGAACTATGTAGTAAGACCTAATTAAAACCAGAACTCAGGAGGCAGGTGGATCTCTGTAAATTCCAAGGCTGCATAAAGGGACCCTGTCAAAAACAAGGAGCCATGCACATTGACACATGACTGCAATCCTAGGATTTGGGGAAGTAGAGGCAGGGTGAACTTGGAATCTGGCTGACTACAGCTTGAGTAGTGTATTAGCCAGGGTTCTCCAGAAGAACAGAACTTACAGAATGAGTCTATATATATACCTATAGAAAGGGAATTTAATAAAGTGGCATACAGGCTGTGATGCTGCTAGTCCAACAATGGCTGTCTAGCAACAGCAAGTCCAAGAATCCAGTAGCTATTCAGTGCCTGGATGTCTCCAGTGGTCTTCAGTGTAGGCTAGAGTCCTGAAGAGGGAGGATCTTATGTTAATGAAGGAATGCGCTTGCCAGCAGGAGTGCAGGCAAGCAAGGGAAGAGAGCAAGCTTCCTTCTTTCGTGTCTATAATAAACTGCCAGCAGAAGGCGTGGTCTACATTCAAGGTGGATCTTCCCACCCCTGGCCAGTGGTGTAAAAAAACCTTTAATCCCAGCATTCTGGAAGCAGAGGCAAGTTGATCTCTGAGTTTGAGGCCAGCCTATTCTACAGAGCAAGTTCTAGGACAACCAGGACTACACAGAGAAACTCTGTCTTGAAAAAACAAAAAAAAAGTGGATTGTAGAAGTGACATTCATTCACATTGTATTAAAGTGTGTCTCTATACATTCCATTGGTAATTGCTGAACCCTCAGAGAGCTAAATGCTAACAGATTCTAGTATTGTCATTACTATTGAAAAATCTGTCTCAGTGTTGTGTAAAAATTGTTCTCCATCATCTCTGATTGGCCAATAAAGAGCATTCTTGGCATTTGCTGTATGCATGGGTTAGGTTGTTGGAGTTTCCCATTGCCTTTAAACACAGGACGACATGGTAGCACCAAGAGACGCTTTAATGGGTTTTTTGCACTCCAGACATAATTTTTCTTTCTTCTTTTTCCCTTGTTCTTTTGTTTTGTTGAGACGGGGCTTCTCTGTATAACTTTAGCTGTCCTGTTCCTGGTACTCTGTTGCACAGGCTGGCCTAACACACAGATCCACCTGCCTCTTCCTCCTGAGTGCTGGGATTAAAGGCATTTGCCACCACAGCCCAGCTGACATAATTTTTCTTAGGTTTATTGTAGAGAAGCAATTCAATTTCCTGATGGTAATATGGATCAGTTACCCCTCCTAACACTGTTAATTTCTTTCTTAGCCTGTTGGCTTAAGGGCATTAGTAGCCCAAAGTGGCTTCCAACTCAGTGGAATGTTTGTTGTGGGAACAGGAAACAAACAAACAAAAAAAATCTCTTAGTGGGTCACTGGGGGTGATATTCCCTTTTCTACTGTTGATTCCTGGACCCATGGGTCCAGGAGCTATGGGAGAAACCTTACCATATACTGGACAATTATTTAAAGCATATGCTGCCTTCTGGAGGACGCTGCCCTAGCATCCAGGCCACTGCCACCTAATCAGTGCTGTAACTGTCTTCAAAAGGCCAGTCCCTATTTCTATCAGGCCAGCTGCTTCAGGATGGTGAGCAACCTAGTAGGACCAGTTTATCCCATAATCATGAGCACATTGTTGGACTTCTCAGGCTGTGAAGTGAGTCCATTTGTCAGAAGCAATACTGTAGTGAGAATTTTGGAATTTTGGTTTCTTTAAAGAACACAGAAATACAAGAATATGTTTTTGTTTTAATCCCAGGTATGGGGATATGCGGCTGCTTTGCAGCAGCCGACTATGACTGGCCTCATGCTCTGGCATGGTTTTGCCAGCTGCAGATAGTTTCTGTGACTGTGTAGTGTTTGGAATTCTAGGGACTTTTCAGAGGGTCTATAAATGCTAAGGCGCTGAGAGGTGTGGTGGGCGTTTGTTAAGTGTTGTCCATGGAGGAAGTGGCCCGATGTACTCAACCCACCACTAGGTCAGTGGCTAGTCATCCCGGGAATGGTGCCAACCTGGGGCTCGTTGTTAGCAGCAACAGCAATAGCCAGGTCAGCCTCAGTGAGTGGAAGTCCATGTTGGTTGAGTCCATGCATAACCCCTATCTCTCCCACAATAGCCACTTTGTTTATGGGCCCATTGAACAGTGACAGGGGTGAATGGAGAAAGAGGCAGGCTGTCCACAGAATGGCTCATCCTATTTATTTAATTATTGAACCTCTCAGCTGAAGTCTTTTCATGAACGTTTACATGG